AATTCCAACTATGGTTTCCTTAAAATTTGAAGATTCGTTCTTTTTTAAGAATTTTGCAAACAATTTCAGTTTAGATATAAAAAAAACAATTGCATATAATATTCCTGGTTGTAAAAATAGAAGATCGTCGATACTTGGACGTCTCCTAATTAACACCTGAGGATCTGCGTTTTGCATAAAAATCCGGTGGCAATTAAACGCTTATCGGGAACAAAGCAGCGATCAATCTGCGGGTTATATAACCTCCGTATTTATTTTCTCATTACCGGAGCCATTACGGTAGTGCGCGGATCGATCGGATCACGCGAAACGGCACTGCGTCTTCGCAGGAAAAAAATGCAACGGATAATCCCGGCGATACAATGAACCGCGATCGTGATCACCGACCAACGGCCGACCGGTTGCCGGTTCGATCGATCGTTCATTACGGAGCCACAGATGAATCACTCTTACAATCGGTAAAAATCATTCGACGACCATTTGCGGAGGGTTCACGGACAGTCGCGGTGAAATTTAAAGAAAAACGTACAGATCGTGCCTTCTCCAAGCTCGACTTAGTTTTTCTCTCAAACAGATTTATATCTGTTACCGGTTCTTATGTAAAAGTACCTCCTCGCTCGTCTGGCTGCTCTTCTTAAGCTTCTACGAAGCTTTACTTTTTCTACAGAAATAAAACAATTTGACATCAGAAATAAAACACGTCAATTGCGTCTTGCGTGCAGATATGAAAAAAAAAATACGTGACTGTTCATACATTTTTATATCACTTTTTGTGAAGAAAAATCTGACGTGGATAATTAGCAAGAGTTTTATTTAAATTAATTATTAATTTATTCTCTTCACTGATTTTTTTTTTGCGTTTTGCAAATTGCATCGATGAAACGTGTGAAATTACTGGCAGGGTATTATGTGTATAATGAATGTTTCGCGTAAGTTGCACGTACGGTCGATTCCTGTCGGTGGAAGTGGACGGCCGGTTACTCGATTGCACGATGACGTTCGATTTTTGCGCAGGTGCTCGAGGAGTCCGACACATCGTCGGAGATAAGCTGCCGGAAGGACGCGCTGAATCTTGAGAATGGAGACTTCAAAACGTCCATCGAAAAGGCAATCACGAAACTACCGAGGATACAACACCTGGTAAATAACTGAAAATAAGCCACGAACACCGACTTCTGATTTCCTTTTAAAAATAACTCCTAATAAAAATTAATGCCTTACGTTCATTCGACACTACGTTAAAAATTTTTTTTATTAGTTCTCAAGATGGAATTTCAAGGATTTT